TAATAATGTATATGTGTAATGTGTATATGTGTGTATGTATGCATATGCATTTTATCTTTTGGACACGGGCTTTTCGACATCTAATAATGTATTGAGACGTATCCTGTGATCTTTGATGTGGGCGGGATGATTTATAAGATGTTTCAATAACAAGCTATTAAAAGTTGTATGTCCAGTGGTCCTGTCACGTTTACACACACGGTATTACGTATTTTTGAATCGAGAAAACCATCGATCACGTTTCACCGAGGGGTACGTGCGTCACGGTAGAAATCTCGTACACTCAACCCAGAAATCAAATTAGAAATCGGGAACTCAGCTAGAAATCGCTTGAAATCAGACTATTTCGAAATCTTAACTCTTTCTTAATTAAATGACTTAATTAAAAAGTGGTATTGGAGAAACGTGCTTGTCTCATTTTCCCGTATTTCCATATTTCATAATTACGACAATATTTTGTCTTAAAATTACTCCAAAGTTTCGTATTTTTCAGGCAACGAAATGTACCAAAACTGCAGTAATTGATACCTTCAGGAAATCTTGAAACCATGCAGTGATGAAATCAGCAGTAATCACCCTTGTGCAATACTGCATGTCATCGCATCACGTATGAGAAAATTGTTTCGCTTTCCTGATTGACTTATAGATGCATTGCGAAGCGAGTTTTGGCATAAGTAAATCCATTCGTAAAATAAAGAGTAATAATAAAAATATTATATTCATCGCTATTTAATAAGCCGGTCGCTGTCACACTAGCGCTTGTGTAGTTGTGTTTGAGGATCACATATACATAGCTGCCAAGGTGGAGTGATCTGCATGCGTGAGACGCCATCCACAGACGTAATCTAATGCCCCCCCCCCCCGAAAATTTTAAAAATTTGGGTCTCTGATATGGAATTTCCAGCGTTTCATTCCCAAGACACGATTTATTCACGATTGCTGCATCTTGGACACTGTAATCAGATCCATCTGATCTTGATACGCGGAAAAGTACTGGCACTAGTTGTCAAATAGAAATCCATTTTATGATTAAAACAACTGAATATCTCCTGTAATATACTTTATTTCGATTCCATATTTTTGTCAGAGCTAGAGTTCTCATAACCAAACATAATTACAAAATTTCAACTAGTTTCATAAAGAATAATGAAAGATATAATTGACTGAATACATCAAAATGGATTTCTATTCGGACAACCCTTTCCGAACGCTGATTGGCTAAAATACGAACACGAGATCACCTGGATAGCATTTACGCACCGGAAATAGGCTCAATTTATGGCATCAAATGAGGTGTTGACAGCACATTCACACTGATACTAAACACCTACCCACTCTACTGCATTCATAGTGTAAAATAGAAACATAGGTCCGATGTGGCGGACATGCATCTACTGAATAGCCTAGTAGCACTGGGAAATACAAGGCATTGAGCAGATAAAAGCATAGATGTGCACTGTAGCTGACCTTTGGAATCGATTTCTGGCATTTCCAGAATATAACACAAGCACAACGTGCAAACGTCGCGTTAGAGAGGTTAAGATACCCCGGTTTCGGTGTACGGGTACGAGTAGTGTCATCTTGTTTTACTGATGTCTGTAATTCGATCATACTTTTTCTGTTTTCTTGCAATACACAATGATATAATGCGAAAAATGTGCACCTTAATTACGAGTAAAGGTACAGACATCGACGAAAATATTGCTAACCAAAATCATGCTACCCGTACATGCACGCACACCGAAACCGGGGTATCTTAACCTCTCTATTGTTGACGGGATTGCTAGTTTATTGTTAGCTCACAGTCGGACTAGAAATCGGAAATTTTTATATACCGTGATAAAACTAAAAGATACAAATTTGAAGATACAATCTCGAAAATATAAACACTCCACACAGTAGTTATTGATAATGATTCGAACAAGAATATTGCAATGAAGGTACGGGGCCGAAGTTATATCTTTGTTCAGACATTGCGTAATTTGATAATATACGATCTCGCTTGACTTTCAAAGGCCATAAATCGCCACAATGTTGATAATGACTAAAACTATTGTGCACTGAACCGAAGATATGAACATACAAAGTCGTCATCCTCTCGCGCAGTTATACGGCATTCTTCGTATTGCACTCCGCTCGTGTTATTGACAAAACCATTTTTGACATTTTATTGAGTACTCGTGTTTATATTTACAAAACCATCGACAACAGCGGAACTAACCGTAGATAACCGACTTTAGCTCGCAATTTCTATGCTCGCAATGCATTACATCGATACGTCATCAATATGTCATCACCTGTCTTTCCCGACATCCACGGACGTCGTGACATAGCAGCTACTGATTGAAAATCAGTAGATGCAAAAACTAAACGCTAAAACATTTCACAGGTTTCCAAAGTTTACATTGCTCTCCAGATTTACGTTTTTTTATTGAACTCTTCAATCCCAAGCAGCCAAAGCAGCTCATGCGTGAGATAAATAATACTGCGCGTGTGAGCGTGAGAAAATATGCTGAGGCGTGTGTCACACAGATGCATATAAGCGTGCTCGCTACATACACTAAGCTTGGTGCTAGAATGTAAGCCAAATAAGGTATAAAGCAACCCCCAACAATATTAATTTTTAAGTGGTGCTTTCTGCCCATTGAAATGTCAATCGCTGCATGCGAGGCCTGGTAAATGACTCGGAAAAAAGCGTACGAACATTTTTGGGATTAGAAAATTCCGGCAATTTTTCTCGGGATTCTGGAATTTTTTTCTCCCAAATTTAAAGGATTTGGGGATTTTTTTCAGTTGATTCTTTTCGAAATATTTTCCCTTATTTTTTTTCGCCGAACTTTTTCCGATTTTTTTTGCGACATATAATCCGTCGAATTCTTTTTAAAACGAAGTAAATCAACGAAGGGCATTTCACGCCAATTCACGATTTAAATTTTTAAATTTGATGGGATTTCTCGATATTGCAATAATTTTGAGGATCGTATTGAGCTTTTTCCAAGTATTTTATGCAATTTTTAGAGATTTTTTTAACCAAGCAGCTTGTGCTAGAACTAACTGAATAAGGCAACTGCCGACAATCAATTTTTAAATGGTGCGTTCCGCCCAGTGAAATGTCAATCGCTGCTGTTCTGATAACTTGATCAAGCAGAGCAGAAATTATTCCAAGCAGCTAAAATTACGGCTTATACGCAAGACATATAACGCTTAGTGTTGAACAGATTATGAACTCAGCAAGTGTTTAGGTTTTTGTCGAGGGTTAATAGGGTTAGGATTACTAGGCTGCCTCCTCAACAGGCGTCGGTACTGGGAAAAGCTATAGATATAGCAGATGGAAAAGCGGCGAGAGAATAAGAATTATCTTCAGATTAAAAGAGACGTCTGGGTACGAGACAGATTACTAGGTGTTTATTTTATTTTTTTTTAACAAATATATTTGGATCAATATATGTATATACAAACATGCAAAAAAAATATGCATGTAATTATAAAGTTTTCTTTAATTGATTTGGGTCATACATTTCTTTAGTTACTTGCCTGGCCATATCCTGCTGTGCTCTTCACTTTAGTTCGAAATTCGAACGCGTGATATGATGAATTTCGGTTCGGTAAATATTCAGTTGGGCATTGCCGATCGCTAGCTTACACGCGTTTTGCTAACTTAGAGCATTTTAGCGCATTTAGAGCATTTTTCGACCCAGTACGACTTCAACGCACGCCGGAGTTACGACACACGACTTTTTACCAACGACACACGACCAAATCTCAAACTCGAATTATTTTTTAAAAAAATTCAGGTGTTCAACGCTTTGACATGTTCAAACTACGCATTTTTTTATTTATTCAGTAGATATTTTTTTTTTAATATATTTTGATATCTCTACTTTCAAATTATATTAGTTTTAGCATAGTTAATAGAGGTTTTAGTAACAGATAGTTCGTTGCTATGACGACATACGTGTACGAAATTCACTCCAAAATGGCGTTTCGTTTTGTTATTGGAAAAGAAGTTGCATGGTTACGCCCAATTTTTTGCATTATTTTACTTGGACGAAAAGCTAACAATTAGCAAAATATGAAACAATTCTGTAATGCCATTTTTTTGGAAAATGCGAAAATGCCATATTCCTCGGTAAAATTTTTTGGCATTACAGAATTTTTTTAGTTTTTTTGTATAATGAAAGTTTTTAGCGTTCAATACAGCATGCAAAACTTGAACATATGTCACCAGACAAAGTAAAGAGATATAGCGCATTGTTTTTCTAAAATGGAAAATTGTAATCAGACATAAAACATTATAGAACATGCACAATGATTGCTCAGGTCATTTTGGAAGTTCTTTCATTTTGTTAATCAGTTTCCGCGACCTGCGCGTAAAAATAGTGGTCAGGTTTTGAGTTCGCGATTCTTGAGCAGGGTTTCTGTGATAACTATATCGAGCCATCTTAAAAAAGCTTCTCGCCAACAATATAGAATTTTTGTTCTTTTGTTTTCTTTTAGGCTTAATTGAAAATTTAAACAAATACTCAGTGTTCCATGCTACTACTGCGCATAACATAAATTGAAGTATTTCCAACTGAAGCCATCATTAAATCAATAATTTTGTCAAAAATCCTTTTTTTTCTGACAAAAAAGCAATGTTATAAAATACATGCATATCACTGCGTCATGCTCGTTTAAATTAAGACCGTTTTCCATTTATTCCCAATGGTCGTGATTAGGGTTTCTATTTCTTGTTACAAAAACTAAGGTATAGGCCATATATATATAGGTCTTTTTTTGTAATTTTATTTAATAAATGCTCGTGCATGAGAATGATATGCTACATCAATCACGAACATTTGTTAAATGTTACATCAACTTTGAAACAATCAGGTTGTACTTTATATAGCATATATAGCTATTGTTTCAGTGAGTTCGATATTTGCATGAAGCTTGACTATCGACCACAGTAATGAGATAAACATGAATTATTTTAAATAATTTCAGCACACTATAGTTGATCGACAAATTGGTTTAATCAAGATTACATCATTTGGATTACATGTTCCTACACTTCAATTTAGATTACATAAAGTACCAACCCTTGATTGCATTTCGCAATGCGAAATTTTTAACCATGCAATTCTGATAATTGAAAAATGTTGATTAAAATAAAGCAAGTATATGATAATCATCAACTTAAAAAAATTGATATCGTGCTATTACCACTATATGATTATATAGTCCCCTAACATTGAAAATTTAATCTATATAGTTCCTTTACTATGCTAATTAGCCATATTGTGATTATGTTAAATGAATCTTAAATGTGAATGACCCGATTTATGCTAGAGACTGCCAATGCATGATACGTTTCGAAGAATTTTTTCGAGCGGTAAAATTAAGATAGTTCTGGATGTTTCGACGACATTAGACAAGCTATCCGAGGAAAATATCAGGCTTAATTTGTTCCCAAAACCATACTGTCAAGGGATGAAAAATGAAAGAAATGTCACGAAAAATGTCAGCAGAATAAACCGTGAGCCATGCATGTAGTGCTCACAATTTCACTGCAACTATTTTTTAGTTAACATACACGGAAACTTCATTGCAAGTTGCAGCAAATAATGCTACACGTGTAACATGGCCTTATAAAGGCCCATTTCTATTCAAGAAAATTTTCCGCAGAAAGAAAATTTTGTAAAATATGATTGGCCGAAGTTGAATGTTTTCAACTTTAAAGAATGATATTTTTGGAAAATTTTCTGTCCGTGGAAATTTTTCTTGGGTGGAAATGAGCCGTCAAAAGGCGGTTTTCCACTAGGCGAAATTTTTTGACCGAATCGAAATTTCTCTTTGTTTCAGAGCTCTCGAGCAGAACCAATTGTAAAAAGACAAAGAGAAATTTCGTTTCGGTCGAAAAATTCCGCCTCGTGGAATCAGGCCTTAAGATAAGTGATTCGTTAGACAGATGCATTTTGACGCATGGTACATCTCTGGTATAAATCGGACCGGCACTCTGTTATTTAACGAACCAGTATATACGCCATGGCTTTGGTATTCTTGTTTCCGTTGTCTGGACTACACTGGCCAAGATTACCCGCCGAGTTGAGAGATTTGTCCGGCGGCTGACACCAGTTTGGATCGACGGGATAATTCCAACCACCTTCAGCTCCCAGGCCAACGTAAGAGTCGGGCGAATCGCAATGATTCTGCTGGTTTGCAATAATGCCCAACCGAACTTTTACAGTTACTCTATATTTAGACAGCGTTGAATCACTTCGCAAGTTAAATCCTTCTCGGTTGCAATGAAGCTGTAAGGATGATCCACTGATCAATGATTTCCATTGCGCGCGACCGACTTGAGTTTGTCGATGGTTTCCGTCTGCGATCAGATTATACAGCGATGATGCCGGGTACGAGAAAGAGAAGGCTCTTAAACGACCACCATATTTCATAACAACACAAATTTCTTTAAATGAGGTTCTCCAGTAAGTTGATCCTTTATATTCTCGGTTGTCTAAACCGCCGTTTCGTCCATAGGCATCGTCATTGTAAGCGTTTTTGCTCGTCCAATAAGAGGAACTGTATTTGAAAGTACTCTATAAAAACAAATACGTCTTAGATCTGGAGGAGTCGCCATCGGATTAAGTCATGTATCATGCAACAATTATATAGAATGGGCTAATAGACGATTCCTGGAAAGAGCATCTTAAAATGAGTAAAATTGTAAAGTTTAGTTGCGAAATGTTGTAAAATGAAGAAAACATAGCATAGCCCTGTGAAGTTCGCAAATTTTGTATATATTTGCATTACGCGCGGGAAAAATAACCATTTTTGAGCCGAAAGTGATTACTTTTACCGCGCGTAATACAAATATATACGAAATTTGCGAACTTCAAAGACAATATGTTCTTCTTAGAATGTTAGAGTTTGTAATCCAAGTGAGTATATATACATTTTCAGACCTAACCAGGAACGACTGCGAAAAATGCAGCACAAGGTCCTCTGCATGGTAGGAATTGAACCTATACGGCCCTGCGATTCCGGTGCAGCGTTCTAACCAACTGAGCTACAACATTTCGCAACATTTTACAACATTTCGAACCAAACTTTGCAGTTTCACTCATTTTTTTAAGATGCTCTTCTCTTTCTACCTGTGGTGTTGGATTTCGTTCTTGATAAAAATTTAGTCAGTAACTGGAATCACCATTAATATCCATTCGGTTGACTTTGCCCGGCAAAGCAAGACAGATTTTTGCCACTTTCTCATCCAAATGTAACCAACATTTAATCAATTTGTACTTGGATAATGTCATTTGGTTCCACAAATGTTCGTATTCAATACGTACGTTTGGTATTTTTCTAAATTATCGTGCTCACATGCAGTCAGACAAACGCGGATGAAAGTATAACTTCCTGGGGAGGAAATGATGGTAATTTAGGTAATCATGGAATTTATATACAGGAAACTGGCATCGCTGTTCAATTATATCTGCGCTCTGATTCGCAGAGACATAACCATGATTATTAAAGTCTGCATGCAAGCTTACTTAGCCTTTACATAGCCTATCGAAGGGAAGATGGCTGTGAAACTCATTAGAATAACAATATAACTCATTATCTATGTTAGTCAACGTTTATTCATAAATCTGGTCCTTTCACCGTCACGTGTGTATTGTATTTTTACCAAATCCACCAATAGCAATTTCCAGTTTCCCTATTGTTCGAGTCACGGATAGGTGACTTTCCTAAAACATTGCTATTGGTTAGTTGCGCAAAAATACAATACACACGTGACGGTGAAGGATCAGATTTATGAATAAACGTTGACTAATATAGATGAGTAATATTGTTATTCTAATGCGTTTCACAGCCATCTTCCCTTCGATAGGCTATGGCCTTTGTCACATGCAGATTTTTGTCACAGACCTAGCTTAAGGTCTGTGACATGGGCTAAGGCTTACCAAACTTCCGTTAATCTTCATCGCCAGTGTCCAACCACCACCTTTGCATCCTGAGACGTTAGTCATTTGACAGTACACGTCGATAACTGTATTGTTCCCAACACTGATTTGGTAAACACCATCTCCATTATTTCTGTAAGATAAACAATTTTTTTCTAACTTAGGTTTTGCCTTATATAACTCATGCAGAAAACGTCAGTTGGAAATTTCACTGGAAACCAGATCATCATATCGATCATCATATTTTTATTCAGAAACTAGTATCGTACGAAATTCCAAATAATGTTGTCAATTGAATAATGGTTTCTTGTTGAAACGTAAACTACAAAGAGTTAAACTCTGCCAAACTCCTCATGAAATATTAATGAGTTTTTTAATGTAACTTAAATAAGGCATAATTAGCAATATTTTTTTTTTAACTTGTACATATATAATGCATAGTGGAATTCTTGTACATATAATAGAATTCATTGTTTCTAAGATATCTTTCTTCAGTAAATTCTTGTAAATTTTAGTAATTCGGCTCATGGCTGCAATCAGTAAATTTCAGTAAACTATATATCTATCTATCTAGAAGATCCTCAACTGATGAGAATCTGGCGCCGTGTTTACAATTTACGCAATTTTTATTTGGAAACTGGTTTAATCTAGGCTATATATCTCTACCAAAACCAGAAACGAATTTCCTCAAGCGAAGCTTTAGATAGTGGGTCGAGGTTGTGGAACAATTTTCGATGTTGTGTAAGTATATATGTATGTATTTTACCTTGAACTCGTCAATATTTCTTTGCATGATTCATGTATCAGCGGTTCAAGGTCTTTAAAAACAAAAAGAGCGGCATTAGCCAATTAACTAATAGGGTGGGGGTAAAGCATCTAAAAATATAATTGTCATTATTATATACAATTCAAATTTTATTCTCGGTTCGTGATTGAATAACAAACCTTGGATAATTCTTATTTTCGCTGTTGATGTGTCAGCGAGGAAAAATTATTATTCGCTGTAGAGCTCAAGCCCCAGCGCGGTCGGCAGCTTGTTAAAAGGGCCCCTTTGAAAAATAAGCTGGTCGACTTCTTAACCCATTAACGTCTAGACTCTATCCTATAGTTCCCCCCTACAGACAAAGTAAAATAATTTCATCATCGCCAAACTAAATGCGAGAGGACTGAGTCCTTTTAATTCCCGACAGCAAATTGTCAAAAAAGTGGCCATTGTGCTGAGCATTTATTGTATGGCATCAGTTCTTTTTCTTCATGCTTTACTTCGATTTATGAAAAATAAGGTTATGTTTTTGAGCCATATCTTGAAACAGTTCAGTAGTTCGTCTCATCACGGTCTCAATAATATTCAGTCGGTATAATCTACGCATGCTCAGGTACATACAGTAAGACATAAAGACGATGTTAGTACCTTTGATCACGTGCCATTGATATTTTCCATTACGTTGAATACAAACCGCGACATCATCATCACCATTGCGATCTTTAACAACAATAAATTTTGCTCTCTCCTGTTGTGTGCAAGGACCAGGACGTTGTGCATTTACCTGGAGTAAATATATAAATAGATACAGGTACAGGTATATATATATATATATATATAGCAAAAATTTTCCCGGGAAATGTTGGCAACAGGTGGAGGAGGTCGACGTTTTTTTTTTTTCGAAAATGAAACCTCTCAAAAAAATTTTTTTCAAACGCTATTTTGCCATAATGAGGGTTAAAACTTAAAAATACTTTTTCAGAACTTTTTGGACCTCATTTTCAGAATATTCCTTAATCAGTTAACAACTTAACATGGCCGCAATTCCAGCATTCCTGACCCCCATGTAGTTCTGGCTCTGTTGATTATATATCTTGCAGACAACTGTATATTTTTAAAAGAATCGAAAATCCCAGTCACAGAGGTGAAACAGTACACGCACTAAGCGGTTATATAGCACTAAAAACTCATTCCATTTCAGCTGCGATATACTGGCCCACCTTCAGTTAACTTAGAGTTTACATCAAGAAAATATATTTTAATAAATACTGGTATATAACACAGTAAAAACCCTACGAAACTCTGGGACCTAAAACTTAAATAGATTCAACGAAATTCACTCAAATTTGATATTTGAGTGCATGCATGCCTATACTTTAATTGATATCGCACATGCTATATGATAAACATATAAATCATCTCAAATAGAACAATATTTTACTTTTAATATTTCCTTTATTTAAAAACAAGTTAGACATACGTTAGACTGGTTTAAAAAGTATTTATGTACTTACTGCAAAAAGCGTTGTAACAAAAATCAAAGCTATAGAACTGTCGCCAACACCCTCATCTTTATTTGCGTTGCTGTTGTAAAATGTTCCTCACTCTTCCTCGGATTGACTTGAAATGACAAACAGGTCGTAAGGCAAGTGCATTTATATTGAAAACACCACTACACCAACTGTGCTGATTTACGTCAATATAGATTTGGCTTTTCTTGCCGAAGAAAGACGACGTGAAAATGGCGACGTGGAAAAGGCGTGGCATATCCATACATGGGCACAACACGCCATTTTCACGTCGTCTTTGACGTCCGCGTCCTCGATCTAAATCTGTCTAATATTCAAAGACAACGTGAAAATGGCGTGTTGTGCCCATTTATGGATATACCACGTCGTCTTTGACGTCCGCGTCTTCGATCTAATTAGAGAGCTCGAGATGTGGTAAATTTAGCACGTGGACGTGACAAAAAACACCCTAAATTCCCAGTGTCAGCAACACGAGTAAAAAATATAGATTCTTTTTGTCGACAAAGAAGGATATAGTTGAAAAACAAGAGTAACATCGCAAGCATCAAATTTAAACTGGTAACAAGTCCAAAAGAAAAGCATAAGTAGCCTAACTGTCTTTTTGTCACGTCCGCGTACTAGATTTAGCTCATCTTAAGTTCGCTAATCTGTCTATTACAACAGAGAGGGGGGTGCAAGCTTATACGAGAATACTTAGTATTGGCTAGATTAAATCGGGCAAGATTAACTAAAACAGCAACAAGAATATTGCAACAGTCCGTCTATTTGCCATGCAAGTCTTATGTCTGTTTAGACGAGGTATATAGGTTGATAAAGTGCATGCATGAAAACCAATTTAAACCGCTAATTATGTGAACTAAAATAACTGCATTAATACTAGATAGCTCTATAATGGGTGATTCCAGCTACAATTTTGATCAAGGCAAGAAGAATGAAATCCAACACCACAGCTAGAAAGAGCGTCTTAGAATGAGTAACACTGCAAATATTGATTGCAAATTGTTGTAAATTGAAGATAATATAGCCCTGTGAAGTTCGCAAGTTTTGTATATATTGGTATTACGCGCGCGGTAAAAATAACTACTTTCGGCTCAAAAATGGTTATTTTTTCTGCGCGTAATGCAAATATATGACAAAATTTGCAAACTTCACAGGGCTATATCTTTTCCTCATTTTACAACAATTCGCAACCAAACTTTGCATGCAATTTCACTCATTTTAAGATGCTCTTTCCAGATCTTGTCTAGATCAAAATTTCATCCCTAGCTGGAATCCATTATAGGGTAAAGTGTTCTGCAAAAGATTTTTATTCAGATAAAGTCGTGTACATATAAGAAATGAAATGTATAAAGAAATGTATCGGGAAGTAAGAGGATTCAGTACTGGTGTGCAGACTTAACAAGATATATGAAATTATAGGTATAAGCTGTTTAATTTGTGCACGTCATGGAATATTACTGCATGATATATACTGAAAAAACCCACTGTGCATGCATGCATGCATGCATTGCATGCAGTATTGTTTCAAAATTTTAAATTGGGTCATTATATAAGTATAATTTTTGTACACCCATCTCGCCCCCGTGTTTGAACTTCGAGAGATTCTCTATGGTATAAGATATATTATGCCTCTGAACAATTATAACACACCGCTTTAATACTTTGGTGAATTTCACACCTTGATATTTGACGTACACCAGCAAAGTTCACACTTTGTTTGGCCATAATTGAGTCAATCATAATTACAAATCAGCACATGCATGCATGGTCATAGCATTTTCCCTTATATATATATCGATCGCTTTTTAACATTTTTTAAAAAGGTTGCTGGAATTGAAAGATATATCATTACTTCATAAATATATAAACAAATTTTTTGGACAAAATCATATAATGTAACCTTAAGGTGTTCCAGTAAGGTAAAGGTTATATGTCCAGTGTATTGTCCTGTCACGTTTACGCACGGTATCACATATTTTCTAATCAAGAGAACCATCGATCACGTTTCACCGAGGGGGGTACGTCATGGTAGAAATCTGGTACACTCAACCCAGAAATCAAATTAGAAATCAGGAACTCATGAGCTAGAAATCGCTTGGAATTATTTCGAAAATTAATTCGAAAAATATTTCGAAATCTTAATGAAAATGGCTTAAAAAGTGGTATTGGAGAAACGAGCTTGTCTCATTTTCCCGTATTTCCATATTTCATAATTACGACAATATTTTGTCTTTAAATTACTCCAAAGTTTCGTATTTTTCAAGGCAACAAAATTTACCAAAACTGCAGTAACTCACGACATTTTAAATATTGATAGAAAAACCTTCCATCTCCTCAACCTCAGGGTCAAAGACAGACAAGATTGTGCATATAACCCCAACTCGCGCACAAATATAAAATTCTGACATGCAAGACGTCGTGAAAATCTTACAAAATCCGAACAACAAGAATCATGGAACACCACTACCTAATCGTATTACATTTTCAGAATTCAAGAATCTTCTTTAAAAAAGTATACTATATTTTAGCATTATGCAAATACCATGCAGGATGCTGAGGACCCCGCACATGGAAAAGTGCGTGTATAAAATGTAATTCCGCTCGTATTTAACGAACTCTTCATTGACATGCTGTTTTTAGACAGAATGCTGCAATGTGACTGTAAGACTGTTTGTTTATTGTGTGTGTTTAGTATACCTTGTAAATTGCTTTCGTATATAACTGTTGGGGCCGCTGTAATTGCTGCTGCAAATCTTGAAACCAGTGTTGAAAGCAGTAATCACCCTTCTGCGTCATCCCATCACGTACACAAGAAAATAATTGTTTCGCTTTCCTGATCGACTTATCATTATCTTATAGGACTTATAGATGCATTGCGAACGAAGCGAGTCAGTTTCGCATAAGTGTAAACCAATTAGGCCAGGATCAAACGTCGAACTGTTCATGTGTCGAACCTAATGTTAATAAGCTAAGTTCTTTGTTTCACTTCATTTACATTAGGCAGATGAAAAGTTCCAGGTTTGACCGTGGCCTTAGCCTTTCTATGCACGATTACGAATATCCGCCATGTTTGGGTGGCATCTAATAATTAAAACAATGTGAAAAGCAATTTTTCAAAATAAACTAACCATTTACAAAGCAAATTTACCATCATTCATCCAAAAAATTATAAATAGTCGCTGTTATGTTATAACACTTATCTCGCAGACTATCTCGCCACCCAAAAATGGCGGTGTGAGAAAGGGGTCTTAAATGCATGTATGAAACAATTAACAAAATGGTGCCCGACTATTTTTCAAGCAAATTCACACCAACTTCACACTCTGATTCAAAGCTTTTTGTCCCAGCAAGACCTTTGACTGAGTCTCTTAAGAAAAGTTTTACGTATAGAAGAACCGTCCTTTGGAATAGCCGATCGAAGCTGTAAATGCCACATCTGTAGTTGATTTCAAAAATATTATTGGACAATCCTACTTTTCTTCTATTTTTTCTTCGGTATTGTGATTCTTAGTTGTAATTTGTAATTGTAACAGTATTATGTAGATATTTTTAATGTGTACAGCTCCATGGAAGAGCACATTTTGCGAAATGGACTCCGTGTGTAAATAAAGTTTTAATAATAATAATAATAATTCGTAAAATAAAGAGTAATAATAAAAAGATTATATTCATCGCTATTTAATAAGTACGGTCGCGGTCACATGCACTAGTGCTTGAGGATCACATACCATCGTGTTCAAATAAATGCTTCTATTATTATTATTATTACATGCACTGGATATAACACAAAGCTTGTGCTAGAATGTGTGTGTGCGGACATGTTGTTGTCGGATTACTAGGTCCTATGTACGCCCATGACGCACTTGTGTTCACAACTGTCACATGAGATGCAAGCCATGGCATCACGTACGAAATCAAACTGTATATCTGGAATTGTTAATTTCCCCTACATAAGGGGTGGAGTGGTGCAATTGGTTTATCACACTTCTGTGTTGTTGTCACTGATAAAATAATCAATTTTTCACTGTATTTGTGTTTTACACTAGGAGTCCTTGTGTCGCATCGACTTTCCCCCGAACTATCTCGATAATTGTTGAAACGTCAGCCATAGCACCAATACCTATCAATAAATAAGAAATTCGTAAAGCTCAGTGAATTGAGCCGTGTTTACACTACGAGACTAAGCCTGGAGTAGGCCTAGCTTTGGACTAGATTTTTATAGTGTAAACGCAGTTTTTCCTGGCCTATAGGCCAGGAAACCTAGGCCACCTGTTCTGATGGGCCCAGATTTCCTGGCCTATAGGCCAGGCAGAAGTGCGTTTACACTATCTAGTGGATTTTTCTTCCGGCAGAAAGTGTTTTTACTATAACTTCGGATCTATTTCATTGACAGTTTGTCCAAGATTGTTGCTTTGTAGGTATGTAATTTTATACGATTTGATTCTGCCAGACTTACCACAATCGCCACACGCCAGGGTTTTGGAGATCGGAGGAATTTGAATGTATTTTAAAGACTGAAGTTTTTCAAGCTGTTCTTGTGTCAATGGATGTTGCCACATGTGAGTGTTCATTGCTGGGCAGTAGTAGAATGGTTTCGATGGATCCCAGGCTCTCGCTACGCTTGTCTAAAAAACATATGGTGTAATATATATTATGATCGAAATAAGTTTATGGAGTAAAAGTCATACAACGGTTTTCTCCCCAAGGAACAGATGACCAAAAGAAATAACGTACCAGACCTCAATGAAGAACAGTTTAGGACTTATTCTGCTATCAAGTATATTAAACAGTTGGTTTAGATTTATAGAAGAAACGAAGTTTAGTTTCATTGAACAAGGGCAAGGCTCATGGTTTTTCCCTTACCAATAAGTTATCACATATTCCATGAGAAAGTTTAGCCATAGTATTAGCATCAAGAGGTGCGATAAGAAACAGATCTGCCCATCTTCGCAACTAAAACGACATTATATAATTATATTTAATTATTCTCGTATGATG